GGTGAGTTTGTCGAAGCCTCGAGATCGCAAGTGAGTCCTCAGGTTTACAGAAAAGGGATAGTCGAGAAATATGTACATCATTTGGGGATGAATGGTTATTTTGATACAACGAGCAAGAGAATTTGTGGGATTCTAATTAAACTGCTACTGAATAAACAATCAATTTGTGGGAACTAAGTGTTCAGAATCAAAGAAGATCAAACTAAGACTCATTTTAGTCACTAAGTTTTAGAAATAATGCATGTTGGGATTCTAGTTAAACTGCCACTAAATGAACAACCAATTGGTACCGCCTTAATCTTCAGAATCAAAAAAGATGAAACTGAAAAGGTTCGTCTATTTGCAAAACGAGTTTATTAAAACACACGTAGTAGCAACCTAGCAGCATGAATTGCAAAAATAAAACTGATTTGAGTCATTAAGCACAATTTCACTTGTTCACCTGGCGGGCACGTTGTTCAAGGCAACTCGAGCACGACAGTGGAATGATTAATCGTTCGAATAACCTGTTCAAACTAATTATGTGGTAACCAACCATAGGGTAATCGAAAGCTTATTCGATGAATGGGAGCGTTACGTCCAAGGCAAGATATGCTAAATAAGGATTCAGGATCCTATTAAAAAAAAAAAGTCTAGAGGAAAAATCTATGACGTAACGCGATAATATTCCTCTTTGCACCAAAAATAATACCTGTTACACGAACAATTATTTTGTTAATATAGCAAGGGTCCCCAAAAGTTCACTAACACAGGGACCATAAAACTTGTTGCACGAGGAATAACTTGTTTGATAAACTGAGAGACTTTAAAAGGTAACGGACCCAAGCCTCACTCGATCTCCGAGTGGGTCTGATGCTACCTGACGATTTTCATTCGCAAGAGAAGGTAGAAATACGAGACAGTGTAATATGAGACACAAAGGTTTTTTGGTCACTGGCCACGACTGCCAACTGCATGCACGCGGCTATGCGAACCTGGCACCCGAATTTCAAAAAAGTAACTTTTTCCTTACGGAAAATTATAGTATTTCGTTTGTAATTCCATCATTTAATACATAAGAAAAAATTGATAAAATGACCAGCATCCGACATTGAGATATTTTAAATCCCGTGTGATTCAGAATCGTTCGTAGTTGTTTGTAGTATTCAACTGCAAACGAAACGGAAATCGCTGCAAACAACTACAAACGATTCCGAGACCTGGTCATTTTTTAAATTTTTTCTTATTTATTAAACGATGTAACCACAAACGAAACTGTTGTTACTACAATCAACTACAAACGAAATACTATCATTTTCGGTAAAAAAAAAAAGTTCATTTTTGGATAGTCGGGTGCCAGATTCACACAGCCACAAAAACGTAACATATTTTTTTAATTTAACGTAAAATCGGTGTATCATATTCCTACCTTCTCCGATACTTCGTATGAAAGGAGTGATATTATTATCACATTCTAAGATCCCGTAGTCAACACACGCGGCGTACAATGAAAATGTTCGCAGAAAATTCGTATTATTACGTATTAATTCCCAACGTCGTGGCACGGAACGAGTTTCACTTTCAACCGAATTTCGTCGACGATCGCGGTAACGGGCGTCGCGAAATTCACGATCGTCCCTCACCGAATCCTGTTTTCGAGCCACGCCGAAGAAGCGTTCGCCATGCTATCGCAGCAGGAGTCCGGTCTCTTACTGTTTTGTTTACCGGTTGTTATACCCTACTTTCCTCCTCGTGCACCGTGGAAACGAGTTTCGTCGAGAACACCGTTCGCAGCGAGCGTGGATCCGCCTGAAGAGCCACGAACGACTCCGCGGATCTCGAAACTTCGATCCAACGATCTCCGAACGAAAGATAGCTAGTTCGATCGTAAACACTAGTTTCACTCGGGCAAACGGTTCCCTGTCAGTCGTTTCGCGAACAAAACAAGACGGTAAACAAGATGGTACCGATCGCGACGAGTACTTTCTTTTAGAGGAAGATCTACGCGATCTAGATGAAGAATGGATTCGTCTAGAGACGTTTAGAAACGATTCGCGACTATTGCTAGAGACGAACGATCCAGCTGACCACGTGTACCGATTGCCGCGTGCAGACGACGATCGCAGCTGGCTCGATCGTTCTTCGTTTTCCTCAGGCGTCTAGATCGCTAGCTTTCGATCTCTGCCGAGCGCGGAGCTGGCGTCGCGCCTCCACGTATCCAACAAGGAAAGAAATCGTGATCGTGAAGGTTGTCCGTTCCACCTTCGCGAGGAAGGTGAAAGGGGAAAAGACCTGTACATCCCCACTCTTATTCGTTTCTGTTCGTTTCTCCTGCGACAAGGATGAGCAGAAGTACATATACAAATAATTGCGAAGATTCTAAGTGATCTCCCGAAGAGGGTGTCCAGAATACTTTAAAATGCAATAAACGGAGCATCCGTGCAATAATCGGGGTTCTACTATATCCTCGTTCAATAAGAACTAACACCAGAATAACGTAATTTAATATCCAATATTAAGTTCGTCTAAAAATATTCTAAATGTTGGAAGTTATTGGGAATATATTCAAGTACTCGTTAATCATTTACTAAATTTTTCCTGACCTCTATCGAAGCCACTATATGAACCATAGTGAACCATTATACTCCAACGAAGACAGAAAATTACACCAGACCAGCGTAATTTATTATTCAATATCAAGTTCATTTAAAAATATTCGAAATGTTGGAAATTCTTGGGAATATATTCAAGTACTCGTTAATCATTTACTAAATTTTTCCTGACCTCTATCGAAGCCACTATATGAACCATAGTGAACCATTACATGAACATTATATTCCAACGAGGATAGAAAATTGCCTTTGCGTTTTCACGGTCCCTTTGTCAGCAACATTTCGCGCGAATGCTGTTGTGCGTTCGTAAATCCCCAGTAATCACTTCCTTCTTTCGTTTTCGTGTCACGCGACATTACTGACCAAAGGAGCACGAATTTGACTGGTAGTGGCAGGCGAAACGAGAGTCATGCTCGGCATCCGAGTATTAAAAAATCCTTAGATTGCACCGCGACGATAGCACACAAGGCTCTACTTTTAATTTGATCGTGACTCTCGGCTGGTTCAACGCACGTTTTACGGAGAACGAAAAGGGGATTTATGGACGACAGAAACTGGATTAAGAGTAGAAAGATCGAAGAAGAAGGAGCGAGCATTACTGAGAAGGATTTCGTTGGATGAGGATGACGGAACGGAATCCTCGATGGTTCGTTAACCTCCGCGGCGAAAAAAAAAAGGATTTCGAAAGAAAATATCCAATTTAAACACCAATTTATTGATGTTTGACGATGGTTCGTTAACCTCCGCAGTAAAAAAAGGATTTCAAGATTTTATCACCAAGCGAAGTAATCAAACAATTCTTCTGAGATTTGATACTAACCTAATCCACTCTGATCGATCGAAAAACGGAACCATTTGTCGGTCTAAAATTACTTTCGACTATTAATTAAATAATTACTGCATACACGGAACGAATTAAATCAAAAATTCAATTTAATTGTTAAAAAAAAATGAATCCCAAGGCAACCATAAGTGTCGTCTTCCCGTATCGTCGCGCATCTGTTGGCTAAAGTTTGATAGGATAGAATCCTACGTAGAACCGGTTCATCGGCTTTCGGTTCGATGCAGTTCTAAATACGGGCTTGCTTGGGTAACAGGAACTTCAAGGTTAACGGCTTAGCTGTCGTAATCAACCACGGATCGAATGACCGATCGTTGGAAAATGCGCGAATTAAAAATTCCATCGACACGTCGTGATCCTTTGATTAACTCGTTGCAGACATTGACTGGCAAATTTCCAGCGAATCGACCTTCTAACGTTACGATTTACGATGGAGGGAATCGGTAGCTTAAAACTTCGTTTGCTCCGATATCAAGTGTTATTTGGAAATTAATTCCAACGACACGCGTCCATAACCCGACTTTTCCATTCGCGTAACGTTTATATGTATCTTGAAGATCAAGAATATTTTTAAATACGTATAAGTACATATACAGGTAGATTTTTTGTGAGTTCTAGAGCAGAATTTCCACTTAAGGTATCGTATCTTTATCCACGTCTTAAACCCCAGCATTTTATTTTGCATACAAGGCTCGCTGCCGCATTGCTGAAATTTCTTTTCAACAGCACGTTTCTCGATCGCTACAAGACACTGCTACGAAGGGAGAAAAACAAGATTGCGCACCTTGCGCTCCGAGTCTTTCAAAGCACGCGATGTCTCAATTGCAAGGCGAGTCGCAAGTTCAAGTGAAGATCGATAAAACTGCCGTGCTAAGTATTCGCCGTGCTAACAGCTTATTGCTGAGGCTAGCAGCTACTAGCGGATCGAGAGGTGCAAAAATTTCGCTTCGCTCGGCGAATCGAGGGATCTAGTATTTCACGTCGTCGAGGTAGAATGATTTCTTCTACCTTCAGGAATTAATTCCAATGGAACGAATGCGTATCGTCACTTCTTCTTTTACGCGATATTCATGTGCAGGTTGAAAACTAAAGAAAAATATTTTCTTGTGTCATATATACATACGCGTTGATGGCGTTACGCTCGGTTTAGTAAGAGGGCCACTTTTAAAGTACGAGAGTACCAAAGGAAATTTGGTGCGATTTGAAAATACCGATTTTTTGGAAATTGTGCATATTTGTTTGGAGGACCCTACGAGGGAAGTTTTGAACTATTTTTACTGTTGATAACGATTCGTTTCTTCGGGGTGAAAACAGCCCTTTTACATTTCCCTATTTATTAATATATCTTTAAATCTAGAGTAGGTACATTTACTCGTAATATATTGCAATACATTATATCGACATGTTAAGTCGTATTTTCTATGATATTCTAACTGACTGTACGCGAGAGAATCATCCCCTTTTTAAATTCTACCGCGATTGCGACCGCATCCTGTGCTCATTGGCTGATTGCACGCAATACGGGCAAACCAGTAAACGTGACATTAGCGAGAGAAAGGAATGGCTAGTTAATTAGCGTGCGAACGAGGAAGACAAAAGACGAGATATTAAAAACGGTACCAGAAGTGTACACTTGTTCCCGCGGAACACTATTAAAAATTTATTGCGACTTACGAACTATGCCATTTTCATGTCCGGAGGATTTTTAGCGTTTCGATATAACGTTGCAACCAGAACGACCGCACGTCGCATGATTTCCGCGAACACGACACCGACAAAGCCAGCTTTTGATACTTTCTCTTTGGGATTGTCTATTAGGTATAAATTATGCGAACTGACTCGAACCGCGATAACCGATGAGTCATTTGCCAATGCTGCACAATCGCTCTTGTCGCGTAAGAGTTTAGGTACAATCGAGCATTCTACGAGGCTCGATTTTACAAATTTTTTTGAGGGTAAATTATTAAAATTCTTAAATTACGCTAGTGACGTTTCCACGATAATATTACGACTTTGTTCAGTGATATTAATTAATAATGCATTCCTTGACAGACCTAATTTCAACGTTTGTTTATATTTCGTTTAATTCTTCTGCATCAGTGAGAAGAAATGATGATTAATTTCCGATCCGGTTGCCGCAACAGCTTAGTCTTTCGATTAATCTGTCGACGATACTTCCGCCTTTATTAATTTTTGGCGAGAGGCCCGCTCGCAACGATGAAAATATTTGCATTGAAAATAATGAGAATATTCGCTGTCAACGTGACAGGAAGTGCGTACGCGTAAATGGGGGCGCTAAGCGCATGTAAGATAAAACACGTGGCAATGGCGAACGAGAGCCTGAGGAACTCTTTGACGTAGGTCGCAAAAATAGACTTGGTCAAAATCGAGAATTTCGCCTTCGTGAAATATTTATACTTATCGCGTTATTTTGCTATGGTAAATATCTTAGATAGCGTTGATTCATAATATTAAGGAAAATACGAAGGCATAAACAAACATTTTTATTGTACAGGTTGCACTCTCATTTGAAACGCAAAATTTACATACTAAATTGCGTAATTTTACGTACCACAGTTAGGCTCGGGTATTTATGTTATACAATATGGAAAACAGACTGTGCGAAGCTGGCAATTAAACTAATATTTATCAATTAGAAATAAGAAAATAGTTCCTGAATGTATTTTAGCTTGCTAAAGATAGCTCGGAAGAGTGAACGAACTTTTCATTTTGTACGAGCATTCCACAAAATAATAACCAAGAACACAAGAACGTAGTGTACTCCACCTCAAACAGGAGCTCCGTATTCCATAAAATAGTATCGTAATAATAATACTCCAGTTTGCACAAAAGCATTACGCAGTAATACACGCTTTTCATATTTAAAAAAAGCCATAAATTCGTAAACCACCTGTTTATCGGCGTATTAACAAATTTTACCGTATGTGATAACGCGTAATTTAGCCTAACCTTGAACATTAATCCGTAAAAAGAGAACACACATTGTTGACATAATAACAATAATAATAAAGCTTCTCTGAAATTGGCGTGTATCAAAAAAATACCGTGGACGACAGTCTCCGATATTAATTTCCGCGACAGAATGCACGATTGTATTTTTTCTTCGTCCAGTAATTAACACATTTTTTGCGTCATTATTTGTGCCATTTTTAATCGTAACAGTGCATGTATGTATATCGAAACGCTGAGATAACTATTCGCGCGATAAAATGATACCAACACCATGCATAATACACGTACACAAAATGATATACGAGACGACCTTTACCTATCATCATTTTAAAATCGTTATCTTTCCCAACCACTTCTGAACAAGTTCTTGCCACATAAACTGCAATTTTCAATATCGAACACCGTCGCACAGATTTCACGGCATAAATTAAAATTTCGCGCTACAACGATGTATACAAAAGGATCTCCCGTACGTTTCGCGAGTTGCGAAACATTCGGCTGAATTTTATGAAATATATCACCGTAATGCATACGTATGTCGAACGAACAGATAAGCTACGTGTACGAAATAGAATCACGTCCATCCGTCGAAAACGTTAAAAATACTCTGGCTTAAGCGAAGTCTAGGCAAATTCTAATTACGTTAACGTAATTAGCGTCTACCACGGGACAAGAATAACACAAGCCGGCATACTGTGTCACGTATTGGCCCGAACAATTGAAGAGGTTAGGAAAACAATGATTCGAACTGTACACATTCTACCGTTGCGTCGTTTGAATTGTCAACGTTACGACGCAAATATTTGTCTCGGTTCCGTGTAAGCGAAAAACAGCTGCTGGTAGCATAAAAGACGGTAACTAATACAGATATCCGAAATGAAATTGGAAGGCACGTTCCATCGACGACGGAAACGTTACACGATGAAGAATAATTGCGATAATCACGTACGACCGATCGTGATCTCGTTCGAAGCGATAAGCGGAACGAACTCGGCGAGTGATAGCAAAAAAAAAAATTCAGCATACAGGTTAGAATACGTTCACACCAAGGTGCGGTGCCCTTTTACATCCTAACATATTTCTAATAATTTTACGTCTTTAAAGCGCGCGTAATTTGACACGTTCTCAGTGTGACAATACGGTACGGAGAGTATATGAGCAAACAAAAACAAGAAATATACGAGAGACGAGGTGCAAGCAAAGTGCTGTTATAAAACCTAACCTCGTTTAACGTGTTTCTCGCATATCTGTTCGCATTGTACACCGCCGTACGTGGGCGTTTCAATTAATTATGCTGTCAGGTCGAAAATATGGGATGCATTGTCGCAAAAACAAGAATCGCTACAGTAATAGTGGCGTCAATGATCTCACCTGTTGGTACGGTGCTCATTTCGCCGAATCGATGAGCCTAAATGTACACGTTCCGCGTCCTTCGCACACAATTTATCACTCGCGAATTGATCAACCGAAACGATAATATGCCCACCTTTATCTACGAGATCGTTCGAAACGAGTACTGCGACGTGTTCACCGCTACCGAACCGAGATCGATTCCTTCCGAAACGCTTCTGAGCCACAGCACGGCGGCCATTTTGAAAACAGTCGGCGCGCGACGCCATCGCGCGGCGCAGTCGGAACTAATTGGCGCGCTGAATCTTCGTTTGAAATTCTGGCGGCAACGTTAGTTTCTCAGAGAAAGTTGTAAGTGCGTCGGATAAAGTTAAAAGTGCGAGAAGTATCTTACGATTGAAACTTTCTGCAGATAAAGCAGGTATGTTTAACCTTCGAATAAAAACAATTTAAGTTATCTTTATCCTTTCGGTACATTTGCTTCGAATACATTTTTTTTTATGCGGCAGTCATCGAATAAAGATAAAGTTATGTATCTTTATTCGACGAGTAAGAGATTAAAATTTTTATTTAGATAAAGATTTTGCCCGTCTCCGGTTTCTCTCTGTGAAATCTTTACGCGGAAATGGGGTGAAACGTGCGTGGTAAAACACACTTCGTTCTTGTGTAATTACGTATCGTTTCGGTTAGAGTGAATCATAAACAGAAAGCGAGATGTTTAAATTAATAAATTAATTTCTGCTTAGATAGCTTGAAGAATGGCCTGAAGAATGTGATAGAAGATATTCCTACTTTATCTTGGTTATAAAAGAGTATATATAACTTGTCTACGTTATTTTATTAATTGTAATGAAATTGTTACTTCCATGAAGGTTTCTTTATTTCTACGATTCTCTTTTCCTTGCTTTATTTTCTATAACATGATGAACCGCGATAGAATATTTCTTTGGAACTATTACGTCTCGCAATTTCTAATCTACATAAATCTTAATCTACACAAAAGTTTAAATCATTCCAAAAGAAATAAACGCAATGGTCACGTGCCGAGAGGAAGGAGACCATTGTTTTTCTTTATAACATTTATTTCTATCACCTATATATCTATGTACAGTTACATACACTCGTCTATGCAACGTAAATACAATAATATTCTACAGCATGAGAGCTCGGTGGTTCAGCTCTTTTAAACATTGGCGCTTTTCGGAGGAATACACCTATCGTTCCTGTTCTTAAAGTTTACTAACAATTCACGTCCGTGACGGATGCAGGACGATCGTTGTAACGTCATGCGGGAGCGTAAAGATGTTTATTGCGTAAAGGTCAATTCCTATAATGTGTCCAATACACGCGTATTGTTCAGATCGCGACAATACTGATGTATGCTAATTAACGTTTGCGTGATATCACTTCGTATACAGACACTAGCGTAATCGGTTTTTCATCAATTGCTGTGCGACAATAGCGATAAAAAAGAAATAATCACAAAGAGAAAAGAAAATAGTAAATCATTGAATCTTTTATTCCAAGTGGAACGAAAATTTATTCCTGCGTTCAGGTGTCATTTTATTATATTAATAAACTCGTGCAGCTCCAAAGCGTTGGAATTATTCGCTGTAATCAATTTCGTCGAAAGCAAGAATGATCAGATATCGAAAACGTGTAAGCAACGTAAACTAATTTTGTGATTAGCTTAACACTTCTTGGAGGATACATAGAACTTGAATACACATATATGTACATACATCTATCAATTGTTATTACGGTGAGAATGTTCGTCAAGGTGTCACGCGAATTTTCTACGAAGCAACACACTTAAAATGATCTCTCGCATTAGTAAATCACGCAGCCCGTGAATTCCCGTGTGCTCTCAGAAGCGACGAATTTACGTTATTAACTCTGTACTGGCCTAAACGTCCCCGTATTCTCGTTTGAACGAATCGTTATTATAGACCGTAATCGCTAGTACGGTATCGGACGACGGTTACACGCTAACGATAAAGCCGAACTAAATTCTAGGTATTACGAGTTACGCTGGCAGAGATTCGCGAATACGTACGACTATCGCTGAAGGAGCAGCTAGCGCGTTATTGTATCGTATTGGCACCGTGTTTTGAGTATCAAATATCTTGCACTATATTGTCTAGGCTTCGATCGAGCGATCTAAACTGGGCTAGTTGAAAACGAAACGACTTCACGATCACAATTGTCACGCTTACAGATGAATGAAAGTTATCTCTGGGTCAGGTCTGGCTTCCTCCAAAAGATTCGAGAGAGAATAATCGATTTTCTAAAGTTAGATCATGTGGATGGAGCCACGAGCTACTTTTCGAGAAAGTAGAATAATTTTGGATTCAAATTTAAAATAACTCTTGGTGTTAAATTAAGTTATATTAACTCTTTCATAGATACACACATGCAATTGTTTATCGTGCTTTTAATTCCATTATTCTTAAGTTCCGATTTCTTTCTGTCTGTCCACTGTGGAAAGAAAATGACATTCGTTAGAAGCGTGTGTGAAACCTATGCGTGGTTATATTTTATATTTCAAATTTTAACAGCTCGAAAGTCGTCTAGCAGAGTACGTTATATTTCTTCGATCCTTTTTCGCAACTTTCGGAGCAATCCCTCGACCTCCCCGTCGAAATCTCGAAAAAACCTGACTCGTAGACCATGGCGGAGAATCTCTCGACAAACTACGAACATCGAGTGAGCTTAAGAAAAACGTTAACATTTGTCATTATTGCTGGTTCGATGCGCTGTTGGTTGAAGCTTCCTCGTAGACTATCCGAGCTTACATATGGCCGCGGTTGTCGGTGGCCGCTACAACGTTCTCTCCGTGCGTATAATTGGCCTAAATCGTTATACCTAGATACAAGTGTATGATACAAGTCGCTGTTATATGTACAGAAACCTACGTCGAAGCTAGAGTGTCTCGGTATCCAGTAGAGGGGTCTCCGGCCTTGCCTCGGTTCGACCGGACTAAGTTTTTTTATAAAAATAGTATCAGAAGTGAATCTTCGCCGCTACGCGTCTCGTAAAAACGAACATGTGAGAAAGTTGCGATCGCTGCGTTCTCCATGGTGCCACCAGAAACAGGCAAAATTTCGTTCAGGTTTATTTGGCGACGTTTATTCGAGGGATCAGTAATATTTTTATTTCTTCGCTGTGAAATAATATATTACTGTCTAAGAGACGCTAAAGCAGTCGATGAACAATAGAAGCACACAATTGTGGTCATCGGTAGTTATAGAATTAAATATTCAAGCATCAGCCTCCGAAGCTTCGATTATAGCAATCAAATTTCTCCTACCTCTCCCTCTAAGCAACGTGGACCAATCTCTAATCAGTGTCTCTTAGACAGACTTGGCTTCGTTCGATAATTTCCATACAATTATATAAATTCAAATTTTCCTGTAAGGATCTGATTACCTTTAATTGCTTAATTCGAATGTCGATGTAGGTAGGTTGATGTAGGTGATATAGGTACGAATTCTGCCCGCATCTAAGTGGCACTCGAAGGGTGAATCGAACAGAAGTGTGCAGTCGTCTCGCCGGTTCGAGGGCTCACTGTGTATGTTATAAAAAGTTTACGGCGATCGTTCGCCACGCTATGTACAGCAAACATCGGCTAACGGATGGATTTTGTGCAAATTTTATACCCTAGCACGGTGAAACATAACCCGCAAAAACGTGGCCAAAGTGTGCAATTACAAAGTTCTTAGAATAACATCGATCATGACGAATTATCACGATAAAAGTGTCATTGACAAGTCTTTAACATTATTTTATATGTACGATGCATTATCTCGCTTAGTGTTTATATGCTCACATTCAGAGTACTGCTAGATTGTGTAAGATTACGTCAATACAACCACTTTTGTCCCTATCAACACTCCAATCAAGGGGCTACGCGCAATTGTTGCAACCAATATACGAGAACTTTTTTTTAACATTTACAGTACAAAGTATAGAACTTATTATATGTAAAGCTTGTTAAGATACGTTTTATCTCACGATTACAATAATTATCACTAGTAATTGAATACTAAATAATCCAAAAATACAATTGAATTATATGGTTGATTTTAAATTAAGGAATTTTGTTGATAAAGACTTGCTGTATCATTAAAATCATTTAAAATCAATAATGTAAATATCATGTTCGATGCTAATACTTTCAAATATTTCCCTAAGAAATTAAAGATTAAAATATATATTAAAGTACGTATCAAAATAAATAGAAATGTGTTAACATTCGTTTAATAAATATGCATTTAAATCTGCAACAGAACTAATTCTTGAACTTTGCCTGTGACAACTGCGTGTAGCCCTTTAATGGTTCTCTTACCAATTATGTAAAATTCCTTTCTAGCAGGACCCGCAGCAATTCATGGCTAGACGCGAAGTAAAATGTACATGCTTCAATTGACATAGGTTTAAATCCTAAGGTTAAATCGTTTACGTTTGACCACGTTTCAGGAAGCCTGTCCCAGCGTGTCGCGACGTAAACGAATGCTTTCAGGCGACTCGCCTCGGAAATAACGCGAGGAAGACTCGCTCGCAGTCGAATTTTACGCATAGACATCGATCACTAGGCTTTGGTGCGTTATAGTAAACGCTGCTGAGCGACATTCCTTCATCTAGGCTATGTTACAGCAACGAATATCGCCCGCGGACACCTTCTGCCACAGCGTTTCGCTGATTTCTTGCTGAAAGGCTAGCTATGAGATCCTCGGTCCAGGCTCGACCAACGAGCGCCCGAGCACCGATTAGTATACCTACACACGACTACGCACGTACGACCTGCATACGGAGTTACCTACGAGGCGTAAGCTTTGCGTTGTCTTGTTCAGACCTGGACACTTTCCAAATGTTATTCTTTGAAATATTACGTGAAATAACGTGTTACTTGATTTTATAAGTATTTCAAATAATTGTTCCAAGTATTAGTTGCAGACATTAATCAACTAAATAAATAGCATTTGCCATTTACGCTTACACCTCGTACGACGCTGTTACGCTTCTAATACTCGTAGTTACGATAGTGACACAAACAACAAGATTTCCTTAGTATCGATTAGAAAATAGCGTTGGCCGACGATGGAGGATTGAAATAATAATGAACGCGGTCTCTACGCGGTGTATCAACGATTTCGTATGAAAACACTCCTCGCCAGGACATGCGAGCGTACGTCCCGTTCTTTTCGTTTGCTGTTTATCCGTCTTCCAACAAGGATATATTCGAATTTATTAAAAAATGTCCTCCATGTTGGTGTAATTGCGGTCCCAGTAGCCGCCTCGGTACAGCCAATCCTCTTGACCCGTGTATGGATTTACGCCTAATTGGAACCACCTGTGGCGCATTGCAACATTTGCGTAACGGTTACTTCGTTATCTGGCGGCTTGATGTACGAGTACACTCGAGTAATATGCAAAACATTCCGACGAAGCTGTTGTAGTTATACATTCATGTTCCTCTGAGTTTTATTTAAAGGCAGCTTGTAGAAACATTTAGTTTGATATTTGTGTGTGGAGTTGACGATTATTACCCGAAAACGTTATTATATTCTAAGAAGATATCTTACAACAAGATGTGTATGTGGACAAAAATTGAAATGTTCAATAAAACGATATGATAGTTAATAATATATGTGAGTTGTAATTTATTAGAGTCCATAGAGGATCGACACGATCAGTGTTGGACAAAATGTAATTACTGGTTACTCTGAAAATTGTTTTTCTTTGATAAGATCATTATTGAAGATTTAGATACAGATATTTTTGTAAAGATACGAATTATCGTAGTAATTCACGAAAATGAAACGTTAGTATTGATGGAAAGGTGGGTGTTAGAAAAGTAATAGACTAATTGTAGTTATAAAGTAAACATTAAAAAGTACGTTGGAACAATTAAAATTGTTCTTTTGCGATAATTCGTGACCGAAATGTCTGTAAACTATTTGAACTACGAGACGTCTCGTAATTGGCAGTGAACGGGTTCAAATAATTTTTATATTCGCAGTATCATATTCAACTATGAAATAATACTAAATGTTTCGTACCTGGGCGTCCATTCCTGAGTTTTCTTGTGCTTACGAGACTTACGCGTGTCGCGTTGCTTCTCCTCGAGTCTCGCCTTCTCAGCCCCAGCCACGTCCAGGTCGCCATTTTCCAGTTTCCTTATGTCTGGCCTCAGCCTGGAGTCCGTCGGGCATATCGTTTTCTCCATTTCTGGGGTCATTTCGTTCAACGACATTGCGAACGTTGTAAATTGATAATACTGGAAACCCCATCACGAAACGTCAAATACAAAGAAGGAGTTAAATTTAGATAACTGATTGGATTCAACGTAATCACCTCTGAACTATTGGGCGGTCTTGGGGCAGCTTCCCAAAGGGTTGTGGATCCAGGAATATCGTCGATCGTTGGAGTGTCGTCTCCGTCTATACTTGCCGATGGATCGTCAATTGCGTCCTTAAACATTAAGAACAAAATTTGGCTTTTCGTTTTAGCTGAACGAATCATGAAATATCACGGCTGGAAACTTGTCATGCAATTTTCTCAGGGTTACTTGATTTTCTCCGAATTCTTTTTTTTTAATAGAGTCACTATGAACCACTGACTCTGACTCAGACTCTGAGACTCTGACAATGAGATTAATTCTGAGACACTGACCGATGAGTATCGATGTTATAATTAATTAATTAATCGAGGTTCTACGGTGTCTAATATCCAATGAAGATTGTACCTGGTGGGAGGGTTTGAAGGCTCCAACCTTGAGACTGTGCAGCTTCGCCAAGACCTTCTTGTGTCCTGGGCTCCCCTGAGGACTCTTCGCCTCGCGTTTCACCCTTTCCAGGGCGTCTTCGTATTGCAGAGGCTCGCACACCTTCATCCTGTCCGTCCATCTTCCGTAAAGGAACAGAAGCTTCTTCTTACTGAACAGAAAACAAACTGCTTGGAATTCCTACAGCCAAAACGCAACTAACAAGGCACTTAAATATAGCTAACAGCAACAGTTGAGAGTCTGACTGCTGCAATCCTGGAGGTTTTTCCCAGAGACGGGCAAAATTGTATCCGTTGTGACTTCTTTGCTACGTCTATTCATTTAACTACTAAATATATGTATAAATAGAATCCTGCCCATCTCTGATTAGATTTGTGCACAGTGCAAGGATTCAAGTGATGATAAAATGTTACCAGCTTACTCTTGATCCGTAATAAATCCTTCTACGCGATGGAGATCCTTCCCGTTGCAGCTTCCTCCCTTGAAGGCGAGGGTCGCCTTATAGCTCGCACCGCCATATTGTTTGATCTCCAGGTTGCCTAATTGCTCCATCCACAACTGGCCCACCAGCACGTTATGAAGAATGCAGTTCACGTTCTGCCAGGTGTACGCTTCCTTCCATCTGCGTGCAAGGTTCGCGATTAATAATTCCTTTATCCTTGATTTTTGTGTATTTATGTTTATTATATTGTTTTACGATGTATTATGACGTCTTGTATTGCATTATGCTATCTTATGCTGTGTTATCCTGTGTTATGAAACTGTTTTTATGCACTCACTTGGGAAGCTCAACGGTGACGATGCCCTTCGGATGTATCTCGACCGATTTGCCCCAGAATTTCAGTTTCGGGTGTATGGTGCCGTGGAATATGAACTCCTCGGTGTCGGCATGAAAGGCTGACACTGGTGGATGGTGCGATACTTGCTCACAGACTATTCTGAAGACAGGATTGTAGCGCGAATTATCCATCAACGTATCGACTTTGGACTTTCATGTATGTTTCATGTAAAATAACTGTACATGACGTTATAAATGGGGCGAATATCGTCCTCTGTAACGGTAGAACATTTTAGATTTCTATTTGAAATTTATCCTAATATTTACATCCAATATATACATATATATATTATTGTATTACAAATATTAATAAGTAGAATATCATATTCTGCTGTAATGTTAATTATACCGCGTGATATTCTGCCAGTTTGATAAGAAACTTAGGAGGAACATGGATAACTTGATAGGTTGATCTAGTTACCGGAAGTCCTCGCGCTCCAGCTCGTACGTTTCGCCAAGTATCGGGTTGAAGGGTTTGCCAAGCCTTTCCCAGTTTGAGGCCAAAGCGCTCACGGCGAAAGCAGCAACGTACTGCAACGTCGACGATAGAGAATTGTTATCATTCCGATCAAACAAACGTACCGGTACCATTATTATTTGTAATATTTTTCTCTATTTTACTGAATTCAAATTTTACGAAACTAATCTTTCTAAAACGGCTCACCTGTATCCTTCCGAGAGGAGTTTCTTCTTGCGACGCCTGCTTGAGCAGCTTGGCGTACTCCATGTACTCGGCGACGCGTTGGAGGAAGGACAGCGGCTCATTGAAGACGACAGGCATGGTGATTTTGCTGAGGTCCTTGCCCAGCGATAGCACGGAACACAGATTGACTTCGGAGTGGCCAGGAACTGGTAACGTTGTTCTAAAAAGAAATTGATTCGTTTCTATTGAAACTGGTAATGTTATTCTAAAAAAAATTGATTCGTATCTATTGAAACTGGTAATGTTGTTCTAAAAAAAATCAATCGCAGCCTATTACAATATCGCAATCAATTTCAAGAGCACGGTCAAAAAATTAAAATTAAACATCCCGTACAAAAATCCATCCATTTCCCGTTTTATTAAAAACTGACATCCTAAACCGCCATTTTGGAAAATCTTTTATATGCAAAGCAGTTCGGATAGAGAACATTCCCCCCGAGTATCGTAAAAACTATCGTTGGAGGGAACGTAAAGGCCGGAAAATGACAGAGGAGAGACAAAACAAGCACAGAGGAAGTAATACACACAAAAAAAAAGGAAAAAAAGAGAACAGGAGGGCGAGGTAAAATTAGACAAAAGTGTAAAGGTTGAATGCTTGTTATGTGTGTAGAACGAGGATAGGTGTACGAAGGGGTGGAGGAGGTTTTAGCATTGTAAGGCCACAGTTGTCGCTTCGCGAATTCCATTTAAGGTCGCGCAAGTCGCGTGTAGAGTCTGACAATTACGAAAACAGAATAATTGAGATACTGGCTTTAATGTAAATTAAACTCGCTTTGAGAACTTAAAATTAATAAAAATAATAATACAAGTAAAATTGTATACAGGATAATTGAAAACAGAGTAATTACGTGGCTTAAATATAGATTAACTTCTCTTTGAGAATTTTAAATTAATGATAATAATAATATAGTTTCTCCTTGAGTTTCAATCGAATCAAAATAATAACAGAGGAAAAATTGTACACGATAAATAATGTAAATAAAATACTCGTGAATGAATAAGGAGAGTCTTGTTTGTCTAAGAAATTCAATTTCTTGAAATTAAAATTTACTCTTGCAATTAGCGAAATTGCTATTTAGTTTTAAATTTAGCATATTTGCCACGTTTAATCGTTATGTATTTACTGGGCTCGTCGAAAATTGGTGGGTATGCGTTGGAAATTAGGTTTGAATTGCGGGAATTTGATGGGGTCGATCGGTAGTCTATTTAATACTGTTTCCTCTATCACAGTTCGCTAGCTAGCTTCAGAGGATGTGGAATGAATCGATCAGATTCCAGCGTTTATTAGCCTCGACGCTCTGCTTCGTTAATTTCTCAATGCCATCACGCTTCCCGGGAAGAGTATAACGATTAATAACATCCAGCCGATGACTATTTCTGAGATTTCTCATGGGGAATGTCGATCCTTTTCAGTGGTAGCCTCGATTCCATTTACTTGATTAACATTATTCAATCTGGTTCGATTTAATAAAACAGCGAGCAAATACATATGTTTTCTCTTGAGGACAATTATGTAAATCAGTTTGGTTCTTTAGCCAATTATTATGTACACTGTCCCTCAAGACTATATCGGCACTTTCTTAATTTTAATTAGCTGATAAAGTTATTACGTAATTATTATATAAACTGTCCGTCAAGAGTACATGGACACTTTCTTAATGTTAGTTAACTATCTGAAAAAACTGAGAAATCTGCAACGACTCTAACGAAATTTTATGTATATTATTTTGAATGGCAATAAAAATATATTCATTAAATTATCTTACTAATAATAATAGAAACTAATTATATCTTTCTCTCGCGTGCTCTTATAATTGTAATACATGTCATGACATCCTGGTTATTCATTTTTGTAACGATAAGTAGTACCTTTGTTCGTAAATATGAACAATAAAGGTAACACGAAGAGAGAATGATTGATAGATTCCAGAATAAACAGTTTCCATGGTTTTTGATGCATTTAAACTGGCCTTTTCGAAAGGATTTACTAGGTTTCGTAGTGAAAGGTCAACAAATATGTCGCGAAATTAATTTACCACAGAGGCTTTTCCAACCACTAATTAATTCGCCCTGTGAAAAGGTTAAAATTGAGTGTTTACAAGCTCTCCGGCAACATTACGCAATAGTTTACTGGTCTCTGTACAAATATCGATTGAAACGTAACCAGACGATTTTTCGACAGCTGTGAAAACCACGTAGATAAATAATAACGTTTACAATTCAACCCAAGAACTTTACACGTATGCAAATTAACGTACAAGGCAGATCCCGTACGATTGTCTTATAAGCGAGCCGTTCCGGCAATAATACTTAATCGAAATCAATAAATCCACCACGATCTGACCAGACACAGTCACCGATTACGTCATTTATGTCAATTGCGTAAACGTGTTCTATTCTCGACTACCGTGTACACGAAGAAACCTTAAAATGCGATTATATATAGAAATGATCGTACCTGCAACCGATTGCCCCTAATAGATGTAATGATTTGGAGTCAAGGTGAAGATTTTTTTTATAATATTAGAAGAGCATACTTTTTAGGAAGCAGTGGTTAGGTTTATTTATTTACCTACGTTTTGCTTCTCGTTCTCTTCTGAAATAATAACGTAATAACCTTTGACGAGAGCACTTTGTTATTTTGTTACCATGAGAACGTTTTACTGCTCAAAAACCAAAGAATTATTCTTCTCCTTATCCATTTCTCTTTGTAAACCCTTCTCTAATTTTCCTTAAACTGTTTAAGTCCATTTTTATTACATCGCCACTAATTTCTTCAAACCCTTTTTCTTTTAATTTTCTTTTCATTTACTTAAACCCATTATTTTCCTCGAACCGTTGTTTTATTTTCTTTTGTTTCATTTCCTTCTTTTATAATATTCACGTTACTTTCTTCAATATTTCTTCAATAATAGAAACCCAAAAATAAACACAAAATTTCTTTCTTCTTCTTAGTTTTCCTTCACAACTTATTCACATTGCAATATAATTATAATTTATAAGAGTTTGAGGCATCAAACATAACTGATAATGAATTCAACATACATACACAAACACATACGAGTGTACAGGATATTTCCAAAGAATTGAATGGCATTGACAGGCATACATTGAAGTCACTGTATCAGACTTCATGATTTTCTGATAAAACGTTAGCTTTACCGTACGTACGCAAACCTATACAAACGTAGAGTATATTTCACAAAAATCAAGTGTCACGCGTGCTACATATGTGAAAATCACTCACATACTACGTATGTGAAAATCAAACAGAGACCTATAACAAATGTGCAAAATGTTTCAAAAAGATTAAATGGCATTGATACTCCACATATAGAAGTCACTGTACTAGACTTCATGATTTGTAAATAGAACATTTCTAAGATACAAAACCAAACAGGGGCCAACACACGTAAACACAAAATCATATACATCCATACACACCGTACTGCTTCAAAATTGAAGTAGCACCAATGCTCTATATATAAAAGTCACCATACGATAGCAACTGCCCAGGATAAAAGTCTCAAATGCTACGTATATATGTACAACCACCCCCCCGCCCCCAACCACCCACCCACGTACATTCATATGTAAAAAATTTGTTCATAAATCTTCCACTCCGAACACCTTCAACAGCCACTTTTACAACGCCATTAATAATAAAGAGTAAAGTTTAGGGCCATAGCTCCGTGTAACACGCACCTGTAGGGTCTCTGTGTCTCTTCGTTGGCCATCATATGGATCTGTCGTTGTAATCGAGCACCTTTACCGCTGGATGGGGCTCGTCGCTTCCACAGGTCCACCCACCCTCGACGACGACGCCTCGGCGTCCACCGACATCCGTCGATCGCTGCGATCGAGGGTCGTCGCTTTCCTCTTCCTAACGAGTCCTCCGCGTGCACCCTCCACGCATGAAACCGAACAGGTACGAAACACGAGCGAACCCAGACCAAAGGTAACTAAGGGATGAGGGGGTGGGGAATGAACGAATGGAATACGTTCCCTTCGATTCCACCGAATAAAACTGTTCACTCGATCGTCGCCATCGTGGTAGGTTTCGTGGTTTCAGGTCATGAAAATAATTCGACTACCGGCGTATCGCCATGCCTCGAGCACCGTTTTCACGTCGTATCGCCCTAACTCGCGATCAGCTGTACACCAGGAGGCGACTGCACGTTGGGCGTGCGGGCGTGACGAGCGTTCCTGCGCACCCTCTCGTTCATCTCTGCGTCTTCTTCGCACCCTCGAGACGCGCAGGCTCGCGGCCCGCAACCGTCTCTCTCATCTCGCGCTGAGGTCTCGGGGAAAATATCAATAAACTCGAGCATGGTTACTGTGGCCGGAACCGGCTCGGCGTGAGAGTTACCGATGCGCGTCGCGGCGCTTTTCTTGCCACGGCGGAGAACAAGAAAAGGGGCGAGAGACGTCGGGGAGATTCGATGGTGGATACATGGTATCGCGACGAATCCGGTTTGGAGATGTTTGGAAGGCGATGTGGGTTGTTTGAACGTTCAAGAAGTATGTTTCGATCATCCTTGGTCGATGTAATGGGTGGTAACCAATTTTATTCTGATTCATGTATTTTCTTCTGTATGCATGTGTATGTACATGTTTTGAGTATGTATGCGTGTAGGTCGTAGATTGGAGAGGTTTATAAAGATTCTGATGAAACGAAGGTAATAAAATAAATTCGAAGGAGGTATTTTGTTGTTTGAATATTTCTAAGTGCCTAATGGAGTTTGAATGTGGGGTGTTTGAACGTTTGAAAATGTATGTTTCGATCATCCTTGGGTAGATGTAATGAGTGGTAACCAATTTTCTTCTGATTTTTGTATGGATTTTGTATGTTCGATTTCGATCGGTTTCGATATACATATTCCGCTCGTCGGCGCATCCTTCGTGCCTCGCGTCTATTTCGTTGCACAATAGCACGCGATGAAGCTCTCGTGGAGACTTCAATGGATTACGTACGGTACACGTTAATTAAATCTCTGGTTTCACGGTATGGTCCCGATTGAGCACCGTTGCCGCGAAACTTGTCCATTCAAGCGATCGTATGCCAATTTCATGGCTCCACTCTACTGGAAAATCCTTTTAAAAAGATCTGTATTAGGTGAAGAAATTCATTCTGTCCCTTTATATCCAATCATTTATAACTCTGACCTAAACAGAAATATCTGTCCATTATTTCGTTTTAAATTGTAGATATTGGAAAACAAAATTCCAATAGTAATTATCAAGTGTTTAACTGCGTTAAACAGTGTAACTTAGTGCAATTCTATGTGTTCAGTTCGTCAACAAACGTTTTCAAAAGGTTTCAGGTTGCTGGAATACCGTTGGCGTCGGTTTCATACAAACGCGAATATCGAGCGTTTCAGCCTATGGAATCCATTGAAACTGTGTTAATTATCAAGTAGATATAATACATTGGCTGCAAAAAAATGTATACAAATTGCTTCGAAATTACTCAAAACCAAAGACTACCTCCTTAAACTTCAACGATCCAAACAAAAATACACATGTATTTTACACATTAACTTTATAATACGCTACCAATTTATATATTAGAAACTAAAATTTCAATATTACATATCAATAACAATTCTTCAGCTGCGAAAGAATTATACAAATTGCCTCGAAATTAGTCAAAACAGAAGACTACCCCCTTAAACGTCAACGATCCAAACAAAAATACATCTAATTTAAAGCATTCCACAGGTTTGAAAGGTTCTATTTGAATCCGAATGGAACCAATCGCGCGACCCTAAGTGCGTGCTCTTTGCCCTACTTCGCCACCCCCTCGACATCGTATTCCTCTCTTAGTCGTCTAACCGGAGCTGATTAATGGCTGCGCGGGAATTACGATGGTTTCGACGTGCATGCAGACAATACATCGAAATAAGAATGAACCGAATCCCTATTGATTCACCTGGAAACCAAATCGATAGTCGTACGAGGCACAGGGGCTCACTTCGTTACAAATCGGCCAACTTTCGTCGGATGGACGGAGTGACGGGCCGCGGTTCGTCGGTCGTCCAAGGTGAATCCTCCATTGAAAAATTCCTCAGTTCGTAGCCGACGACTCCAGGTTGCAAACCACTTCGTCGGGCTTCTTTCTGAAATTCGTGTTCGCATAATTTCGTGAGTAAACTTCTTTGCGATCTGCAAAAGTAATCTAAAAAATATATATATAATTGGACACTTGGGGAACGTTGTGATTAATATAAGTTGGTACACCCTGTATAGTTAATTTTGAAGCTTGTGTGTCGCCTAATTCCCCTAATTCCTCTGTGCAAGCTGTGAAAGTAATTAAAAAAAAAAAAGAAAAAAAAAAGTGAGGGAAAAGTGTGTATATTATTAATTTCGTTTATTGTTGTTCTTCTAGTAGATCGTAAGTGCACTTGACAATTATTAGGCGTTCACGGTTCATTACTTATAACCAGATTGCGGATCTTTATGCCTTCATAGAAAATTTGAATGTGCGATAAAAAAAGATTGAAAGTATCAATCTAAAGTTCATGTTATAATATTTGCACAGTAAAATAAATTCCTATTCGGATTAAATTTTTGTAGGAAGATCTTATTTTACATAAAGATCCGCAGTCTACTTGTAACCCTAATTTAAACATGAATATGTATCAGTCATTTTTTTTTTTTATCGTAAAACACTCAGATTGCTTCAAATTTTTTTTTTTTTTACGACCTAATAGAATAATCTTATCTCATTAATTTTAACGTAACCTTCCTCAAAACACTGAAATACTTTTTTGGTAAGCAAAAGAGTAACGTATCCTATCTAACATAACGTATATTATGTATTAGGTTGTCCCGAAAGTTTCTTTCGTTTTATTAATAATTAATATATACACAATATTTTATGTTTTATGTTACATTACTGAATTGTGCACGATTCATTTCGCTTCATTACTGTTACAGCATCAGTGTCTAAGAAATTAGATTGTCTATTTATATAAACACTGCCACAGGAAATAATTGAACGCAATTCACGAAAGAAACTTTTAGGACAACCTAATACTTGAACAACCTTGAATAATACCGAAATACTGTTTCGATAAAGATACCATCAAAGTATCGTATTCTATCGCGACAGTCGCCGATCGACTCCACACGAGGCAGTCACGAAACGAAATTGTTAAATATCTTTGATAGACGTGCTCATAGGAAATCAATAGTTTCGTGTCTCTCTGCAGTTGCATGTCACGATGCCCGATCAGATTCAGGAAGGAAAGGAAGCGATCGTGAACGCGGTGATAACGGAAATGGTGACTGAAGTGGAGCAGCAGGAGGATAAGAAGTCCCTATCGGAAGTGGATCTTGAGAAGAAATCACGTCCGAGGAAGTATCTCACCAAACACATGAAACTGTATCCAGAATTGTACAGAAGTGACGTTTCGATTCATCCCAGTTACACGGGCCTTACGAACTTGCCTTAGTAAGATTCATTTCAGATACTTTCGTGAACGTGTCCTTTCTTTTTTTTTTTTTACGAGCATAAATGAACGAATGAAGAAGCTGAGTAGTATAGATCCTTTCTATTAGTTTGTCGGGAAAGTCCGTGCCGATTTTTGGTAGGTGGTACACGTCTGTTTATACTGGAATGGTTGAAAACAATTAATGTGAGTGGATCCACTTAAGAGGCGGAAAGGTCGTGGAACGAAATGGTATTTATATAATTCAATAAATATATATCAAAATTCAAACGTCCCTTTGAATTTTTCTTAAAAATTGCCACGAACTTTCTGGACAACACAATATTTTGTTTTGTTTAATTAAGAATTTCCCTACTTTGCACAAGATGTAACTAATATTTTGAAACGCTTCTTCTCCAGATCAATTCCTCGTAAGAATATGAATCAAAAAGTTATTTTTTCATTTTTCGATCTGAAGCTGATGAAATTACAGTTTGAAAAATACTAAAGAAAATATTTAAAAAGAAATATTAATATAGTCAATTTACATATCTCGTTTCTCTATATCAATACATAATACATACATGTGTCGTTATTCATATTTACACCAATATAAAGTAGTTTTGCATTCGAGAGTAGTTACTATAAAGGAAGAGAAGGTCTCGAGGTCCTTCTTTCCGCTCACTATTTCCAACGTTTCGCATTAATTAATTATCTGAGAATGCAAAATAATGTAGCGAACTATTTCCAATAATTTTAAATTTTAAACGCGCATCCAGCGCCATCGGTGGGAAAACTCCCAAGTTTGTCGTGAAACAGTTCCCATTTTCTAACGCTAGATGGCGCCACATACTTCTGTATATACCGACACGCATATTCAACTTTTCTTTGCACATATACATAGTTTTACGTTGCCTGAAATGCACAATATACAACAATTTGAAGTTATAATCATTGATGAAGAGTCGAAAAGTCATTTAAAGCTCACTTTTTGAACCAAAAGGGTAACAGTTTCGGCAATAAAATACAGCGCCATCGGTGGGGAGAACGCTTAAGTTTGTTGTAAAATAGTTGTTGTTTGGAACCTTGTAGAAAATTAAAGTCGATGAACAGCTAAATTATAATATCAAAATCCTCGTAGCGTAATAAAAAGTTCATTATAGGAAATAAGAAGCAAGAGTTTATGAATATAATGCAATAAACAGTCATGTCGGTATATACAGGAGTATGTGGCGTCATCTAGCATTAAAAACTACGAACTATTTTACGACAAACTTAGACGTTTTGCCACCGATGGCGCTAGCTATACGCTTAAGGCGCGAATTTTAAATCGAATAATTGCTTCTATTTTGCAATCTAATATATTTCTTATAGTTGAATCCTACAAAGTATGTAACTATCAAATCCTGTTTGTACTCTTCGTCTCATAGAACATTCTAACTATTCTCTATTCGATCACAACTATCATTTCATTTAACACGTTGACTGCCAAACGAGTATTCTTGAAAATTTCTGCTAAGATTAAATATCATTCAAACTATCGGAGTCTAGCTAATGAAACATTTATCGTGGTATTTAGTTTTGTAATTACATCAAAATTCAAGAACTTCGTTTAGATTCATCTCCTGTGACGACTAACTTTCAGAATTTTAATCTTTCTAGTTCTTGAGTGAAAAAACACTGTCACCCATATATGGGTGACATGGCGATCAACGTGTTAATTATAACTAAAAATGTACATTTTTAAACAGGTTTCCAAAACGATACTGTACGAATCACGTATCAGTATTTTACTCAATTACTCTAATAAGTACAATTGTTTTGCACCGCGATCGATCATTAAACGCATAATTTTGTTTGGAAGCTACGTGATCTGCAGGCGTCGCCTACAAAGAATCAAGAAACAGATCAGACGTCAGCTGAACCGCGAAGTCATGCATTTCGCGATGATGCAAATGTTCGCCATCGATAGCGTTAAAGTCGACCGTGTCTTCAGCGTCGGGATGCCACAGAAGACGTTGATCGTCCCCGATTTGTTAACCGCGAACGAGAGACGTCACCTCAACGAACTCTTCACGAATCATTAACGCATAAACTTCATCGTTATCACTGTCAAACAATTGTATCGACACACGAGCAAAATAAAGACACGTTTGTACGTTGTATACATTGAATGAGTCTATTTTCTCTCAGACAGAGATAAACAAAATTTAATTGAAACAATGGATAAGAAAAAATATCAAAATACGTTGTAATTCACGCGCCTCTTAGACGTCTCTGCTCTCGTTTTGGCGGGAAATCACAAGTAAACAAATTCAATTCGACGACAGGCGAAACAAAGAAACATTTTTAATAGATCATCACTTTTTTACTTTTGCAAATTAATAACGATAAAGAAAAAATTTAATATAGATATTTTCGATTCCTGTTATCTGTTATTCGTGTTTCCAACGCGGACGAAGAGAACGATGTTTCGTAACAAGTACCAGCACGGACTCCTGTCCATTTTATACAGCTGTGGTTCGTCCCCTTTGGAGTTGTGGGACATGCATGTAAGTTATGGTTAAAAATTAATTAATTAATTAATTATGAAACAAAGCTATAAATAATATTAATTCCTTCTTAGTCAACAAAATTTCTCCATTTCGATGTTTCGATATTTTCCACGAAGATACGATGAAAAATATTCAAATTAATGCTCATTGTCTTATGTCATTTCTGCAATAAAATGGAGGAGTTACTATCCGTCTTAAATCTAGTCCAGTAAAAAGTACAAAGAAACCGAATTTCGAGCAGGTGAAGAACGGATACATTCGAAGGGTGACGGACGAAGAGGTGAAATCATTGGCTCTGGAGTTGGCTGGAACGAACGTCACGACGACCTACATCTTTTGTCCCGCGAATCCAAAGAAAGTTCTCGGCGTTCGACATCCCTTTCTGATTATGATTGTGAAGAACATGAAGAAGTATTTCACGTTCGAGATAACAGTAAATCTTTCGCGACTAAATCCAATTTTTTATCGTTACCCTCCTAGGTCCGAGAATAAAGAAAATTATCTTACGTTACAAATACGATGAAACTTTTGCATCTATCAATATTTCACTTCAGAGTAGAAGTATGGTATACTTTTCGCTTCGATAGATACTCGACGACAAGAACATGCACAGGAGGTTTCGAATGAGCAACTTCCAAAGCACCACTCGTATCAGACCCTTCTGCACGTCGATGCCGATCGGATTGTCCGGTGGCTGGAATCAAATTCAATTTAATCTGGCAGATTTCACGCGAAGAGCATATGGCACGAACTACATTGAGACCACGCGTCTCCAGATCCATGCTAACTGCAGAATACGACGCATCTATTTCGCAGACAGGTGCGAAAGTAAAGAAAGTAAACAAAGAAATGTGAGAAGTAATAGACGAAGAAACAATAATTACTTCAATCACTATAAGTTTTTCAATATCGAGTATTTTAAAAGATCGAACACATTAATAGTTCTTGCCTCTCGAGTTGATTTTCTTCTTGTAAAGAAACCGCATATGATTTCATCCTTTGCTATAAATATTCAGATTCCAATGTTTGCCATAACTGAGCCTCGTTTCATTTGACAGAATTTATTCGGAAGATGAGCTACCAGAAGATTTTAAGCTCTTCTTACCTATCCATCGAAGGAAATGTGTTAGAGAAGAAGACGTGAAGTCGAAATATAAGAAGAAACCGGAGGTCGAAGTTGTGGAACCACCACCTTTTGATGCGGGCGATGCACCTGAAGACGAGGAAGGTGAGGAAGGTGAAGAAGCATTGGAAGACGAAGGAACAATCGAAGATGAAGCTGCTCCCCTGGAAAAAGAAGCTACGAAAATTGAGGCAAAGGAAGATGAAGAAGAAGAAGAGGAGGGTGAAGCTGAGCTTCCAGAAGTAACAGATTATGAGGCAGAAGATGAAGATGCTGCAGAGTACGAAACCGGACATGGAGTTGCTACTCATGGAACGTCTCCGGGATACGCAACGGAAGAGGAAACTGACGGCGAACATATAGCGGCTGAAGACGACGAGGAAGAATACGAAGCTCAGTAATGGATATATGATTCTACCTTAGTGTATATATTAATTAATAAAAAGTTTATTTTTATGCAGTCTCAAACACCGTTAGAATACTTTTCACTGTAAATATGTTAAAACCGAACTAACTTACCAGTTATTTCACAATAAATATTTATATCAGAGAAGCTTCTATAAATAATGAACTAGAAGCACATATAGAATTATTATGCATAAAACTCTAAGAGGTGATAAGATATACAAATACTTTCATTTTTTAATTCATCATGTAGATTATATATATTATTTTTAATAAAAATATATAATTGCATTGAAAATATAGTACTAATCACGGGAAGGTATGTCTTGTATGATACAGACTAAAACCATTATGACAGTCTATACACTGTTCCATAGAACAAGGACATAAGGTGTAAAATAAAAACATAATGAGCGTTTATTGTGTAATATTATGGTACGTCGTAATCGTCATCTTCTCTCTTCCTTTTCATAGACTCCTCTTCTATTTTGATGGGAGGCATTGTTTGCCCTGACGTGATTTGTATTTTTGGCTTGGTCACTTGTGCCTTTACAGTAGCTGTACCTGACGCAGCTAGAAGTGTAAAAGATTGGTGTAAAAAATAATCAAACTCGCGAAAGCAAATTTTTTCATTATTGCTTAAGTAATTTGCATCTTACATAGCTGAGGTCTCAATGAAATATGGATAGAAGGAACGGACGTTTGGGAATGCTGGACGCGGTACGGATCTACGAATTAACAAAGATTCTAATATTAATTTATTCATAAGACTATCGGTTACACTTTTCTGTACGACTTACCCGTTGAAAATTTCAACACAGGCTTTGGTATCGAAATAGTTTGAGTTCTGGCAACAGTTGCCAGTGTTCCTGGTCTCTTAACAATGGACAGACCAGTCTTGTTTCCTTCTACTTTTAACTTAGACTGACCACCTTGAATATTGTTTCCAACTAAAGAATGTAACGGTTTTCCAAGTACTTTTTTCGTTGCATTCTTAAGTTTGTAATTTGTTGCATTTAAGCAATATCGATCCGGTGGTAATCTCAAGCCGTTACTTGGTTTAACGAATGGAAGCGGTGTATTATTTTTGGCCCGAGCAACATCAAGTAATACATCTCTTGGTGGTGGGTTTGTAAACGTACGTTCTAATTGCATTTTTACTGCTAATCTAACGTCATCCAAATCAATGAATTTCTTCTTTGCATGATTTGCATAAATTCTACTGTCGTCTAATATACAAGTAACATAACCTATGAATTGTAAAACGATCGTTTCATAAGTTTTCTTGTATAATTGTATCACAGAATAATAAACGGATACGTAAATTTACTTGGATTTTCAATAAAATATATATAAATTTGAATAAATTGTCAATGTGTAATACGTACGATACGTAAATTCGAGGAGCTGATTTATAACCTTCGGTTCATAATCAGCGATTCCCATATCTTTCATTATTGACATTATCACCTGTGCGTCCTTTGGAATATGTTTTACGTGACTCATCGTCTTTGTTTTCTCTGTCATTTTCCATAAACGTTAACTGTTATTGTTGCACCACACGTACAACAATTAAAGAACACAATTGATGGATTGTATTCTAGGTTAGCGTTGCTCAATGTTGCACTCAAAATCGAACACAAAACTGAAGTACGCGTTACAGTGGAGCCACCGATGAAGTTCAAAATATGCAGTATTCAATTATTCAGTGTTCAGCATTCATTGTTCAATATTTTTGAACTCCTTCAATGAAATAATATATTTTCTTTTAAATATTCTCACTTGTCTATTATTAGTTAATATGTCAAATGTATCATTTGTATGAATAATTATTCAATGCATAGCAGTGTGGTGGTACTCACCGATACGTTAGATTTGATTGTGTGATGCCTTCTAGCGCCGCGTGGTTTTATGTCTTCAACTAAAAACGTGGTTCCACTTCCCCGCATCTGCGCTTGGCCACCCTGGTTCGTCGTGGTTTGCTGTCAAATTGTATGAACCGTCTGAACTTTTAACGGAAAGAATTTATATCATATGAAAACCAACATGAACATCACGTCCGCAGGTAAATTATTTATTTCGTATTTGACACAACGTTATATTTTTAAATTACATTATTACCGTACTTATCAGTTAATTTTCACACAGTACTTGGTCTCTTTCCATGCAATGATTTGCAAATCTTGTGGATCATAACCTCTCCTTTTATATCTAAAATATAAAATACAATTGTTTACTTAATTTTAATTAGTAATAACGAGTACCCAGTGATCTAGAGATGTTTAGGTAATCATAGGGACACATGATTTAAGTACTTTGTTTAACTATATTTAATAACCGTAATCCATTGTTTCAGCTGGTATCATCTCTCTCCTCGAGGAGCCAATGCCTGAATTAAAGGTATTCGCTCTGAAAAAGTTGGATATGATCGTGGACGAATTTTGGCCTGAAATTTCAGAAGCCATAGAAAAAATGTATGAAATCCTAACTGGTTTATTGGAGTGTTTTAATTATTTTTCCTCTGTGTTTTAACAGTGAGTTTTTTGTGTTTTAGTGAAATTCTTCACGAAGATAAGGCATTTCCCCAACATGATTTAGCCGCATTAGTTGCTAGTAAAGTTTATTATCATTTAGGAAGTTTTGAAGATTCTCTTACATATGCCCTTGGAGCTGCAGATCTCTTTGATGTGAATGCTCGTAACGAATATGTTGATACTACTATAGGTACTAAATCTTTTATTCCAAGAGATTTTAGTTTTATTAGATCATATATATTTATTGAGAATTTTTATACAGCTAAATGTATCGACTTTTATACTCAACAACGTGTTCTGGAAGCTGAAGGAAAGTTACCACCAGGTAGCAAAGGAATCGATCCTAGATTGGAAGGAATTGTTAATAGAATGTTTCAACGCTGTTTAGATGATAATCAGTATAGACAAGCTTTAGGTCTTGCTCTTGAAACTAGAAGAATGGATATCTTCGAAGCTGCGATTATGCAGTCGGTAAGGAAAATGTTCAATAATTAACAGAGTCTATGTACTATCATAAGGTGAATATTCATATTATCATTTTTATTTTAGGATGACGTGAGCGGCATGTTGTCCTATGCTTTTCAAGTCGTCATGAGTCTCATTCAGAATCGTGGCTTCCGCAACACTGTACTTCGCTGCTTAGTGAGCCTTTACCGCAATTTGGGCACACCAGACTATGTCAACATGTGTCAGTGTCTGATATTTCTTGATGATCCGTTAGCTGTCGCTGAACTCTTAGACAGATTAAGCAAAGGCTCGCAAGATTGTGTTCTAATGGCCTATCAAATCGCGTTCGATTTGTACGAATCAGCGACACAGCAGTTCCTCGGCCGCGTCTTACAAGCACTTAGAGCAATGGCTCCCATTCCAGGAGCTCTTATCGTTAAACCAATCGTTAAACCAGCCGTGAAAGCGTCTACCGATGCTACAAGTTCGGATTCCACGAGTATGGAAACCGAAACTAGTACACCCGCTCCGGAAGAAAAGACTGAACGTAGCGTTGAAAGTTTGGTAAGCTATACTGCTCAACCGGCTACACCTTAAATATAGTACCATTTATTAATCTACATTTATTTAACCAGAATGCCGAAGAGCGCGAACAACAAGAACGAGTAGACGCGCTGTCGAGCATTTTAGGCGGAGAAATTTCCATTGACTTGCATCTGCAATTTTTAATCCGTAGTAACCATACCGACATGTTAATATTAAAGAATACCAAGGACGCTATACGAGTGTCTATTTGTCATACTGCCACCGTAATTGCAAATGCGTATATGCATTCTGGAACAACCAGCGATCAATTTTTAAGGTAACGACACTCTGCTTTAGACTCGATGAATTATTCTATTTATCATTTCATATCCTAATTCTACGGAATATTATATTTTAGGGATAATTTAGAATGGCTGGCTCGTGCTACAAATTGGGCTAAGCTAACAGCGACAGCGTCTTTAGGCGTAATTCACAGAGGTCACGAACAGGAGGCTCTAGCATTAATGCAATCCTATCTCCCGCGGGATGCAGGCGCTGGTGCTGGTTACTCCGAGGGAGGTGGTTTGTACGCGTTAGGACTCATTCACGCTAATCACGGCGCGGTCATCACGGATTATTTACTCGGACAGCTAAAGGACGCACAGAATGAGGCACGTATACGATGCTCATTGTTTATTTCGTTACGAAGAAATTCGTTCCGATCATTTGTTTGTATAACGCCTCGCGGTTTGTTGTTCGCAGATGGTTCGCCACGGAGGTTGCTTAGGGTTAGGTCTGGCTGCTATGGGGTCGCATAGACAGGATGTTTACGAGCAACTCAAGTTCAATCTGTATCAAGATGACGCTGTTACTGGCGAGGCAGCGGGCATCGCCATGGGCATGGTTATGCTGGGATCTAAATCAACCCAGGCGATCGAAGATATGGTTGCTGTAAGTCGATCTATACATCTTTTCTATACTCTAATTTGAATAACTCGCGCATCATATAAGATAGACGTATTTAACAACAAAAATGAAGGTAACGGGTCGTAACGGAAACAGACATCTTCTTAAACAAATTCATAATTTCGTTTTTAGGTTAATAATATTTTCTCGTTGACCTCGCACGTTATTCGAATATATCAGTTCGACTTAGGTAAAGGATATGCGGGAACGGTAGAAAATTTTGAAAGAATAGGCAACTTAAATTATCAAAAGTATTATTTATATTACAGTAAATCTACAATATGTTGTTAACCACCCAGCGCGTAAGGTGACTGGTCCGCAGTTTTGAAATCATAGGAGCCATGAGCACTGTAAAGAAAAGATAATACATAAATCTGCTGTACCGTTAATTTGTATAACATTAATGTAAGCACAAGTTACCCAGAGCTAAGGGTTGATCCACCCATGTACATCTTTCCACCGCCGTTCCTTGGAGTACCAGGGAATCCCCTTGGCTTCGTGATAGATTCGCTGAAGTACTCGTAGCTGCGTCCGTGAGCACAGGAACCTATTTAGCGAAATGTGTTTTAGTCTTTCCACAGTGAACAACGAAGCGAATAATTTACACTTCAACCTCAGTCCAATACATTCTGCCTCGATTTGGTAGTGACTAGAATTGTTATCTAATAGGATTCATCTTACCACAACGTGTTAACCAGAAAAACCCAATAAAAATAACTTGAAGCGTCTCATTCTTACCGAGCAAGTCGCTAGAGCATCCAGGTTGTTTACTGCCTCCATTAGCATAGAAATCTGAGGTGCCAACTGCGCCGTCCATGCCTAACTTGCCAGCAGACGTGTGAATAATTTGAACATTTTTCGCGTCCGAACGATCAACTCTGTCGCCAGGACCTTTCTGTTCAAACAATGGTTTGGCTGGGTCCAGAGCTGCAATTGCGATCATTTAAGAGTCTAACGGTACTAAAGAAGTACCGAAGTCATGGTCGATTTTGTATAGAAACAATGATTCTTACCTATAACTTCCGCGACTTGACCAGTCTTCGAAAGAGATCGCGCTGCCAATCCCATGACGTGGGCACCTAGAGAGTGTCCTACCATTTTTGTGGTAGATGCTTTCAGATTCATCCTCGAACGCAGGAAACTGGAGAACGATGTGACGTGCTGGGCCACTAATGGCACACTCTTTGCTACTTGCGAGTAGATCAGGTTTTTGGCAATATTGCGCCAGTCTATGACGATCACGTTGCAGTCGATAGCCTTGAGATAAGCTGCAAAGATCATCCTTTAGTTATCGAAAGAAAAGATTGGATTGTTGAAAAATGAGAAATTATTAGGAACGAAGCTGAATTCTATTTAGTTGAGAATTTTATCTTCTACTTCTAGTAGTACTCTCCAAGTATTATGTTTCAATAGTCAAATATATTTGCAACAGAGTTAATGGAAAATTAGTAGGCAATCGAATGCATTTAACGTTACCATCGCGAACCAAAGTGCAGGATTTTGAGTCTCCGTTACTCTTCCATCCGTGGGTGACCAAGATTGTTGGTCTGTTCGCGTTCCAGTTGCTCTGCGAGACCGTGTTAGGGTTGTTCATTGACAGGGAGTGTCCATTTGTTGGGTTCCTCCTGGAAAGAAAAATCGAGGAGTTCTGTTTGGTGTTAAAGAAATTTATATATTTGAGAGAATAAGGAATGCATTAATGATCATAAAACGTAGTGTTTTTAACTGCAATAGATTCTATGGTCTTCTTAACACCAATTGGAACCAACTCTAGGACAAAATTTCGTAGATAGAAAAAAGATCCAGAATTTAATATTATTTACGAAGGATGCACGTCTTTTCAATAGCGTTTAGACTATATTCTCTGCGATTGAAACAGTGAACAGTTGAATTTAAAAAACAAAATGTTGTACGGGAAGTTATATTGTTCTCAGCATGTGTTCCAAATTGTTTGAGAAGATTGAAATTGACGAATGTAATGCTTTCGGTCAAGGTAGTGTCTATTGTTTAGTTTCTATTGGTAGTGTCTATTGTTAGTCCTAACCGCGTGAAGAGGTTGAAAGTGATGGAATCGAGGTCGCTGGACAAAGCATTGATCTCGTCCAAACTTAGAGGTCTGTCGTCAAGCTTGATCAGGTACGGGACTCCGTTGTCATCTGGAAAAACCGTGTAGTTGGCCTGCATCAACGCCGTGAGCAGGGTGGGATAAACTATAATAGAAATTGCCACGATTATCATACCGTTGTATTGCTATCAGATTACCCCAAAAGTTCTTTTAAGATTTCTTTCTTATAGGATTAATTAGGGAAAGCTAAAAGACAGGATAACGCAACGCCAACGAAAAACAGACCAGGTTGGATGCTTGACTGAACATTGCACGACAAACACTAGCACGCAAATTGTAAATAGAAATATTTAGATAAAATTAGCAGGTTTTAAAGAAGTTCAGAAAATTTCGTCTGAGATATATTAGATGACTCGTGGATAAGGCTATTTTGAAGAATTCTGTCTTAGAAAGCCATTAATTTAATCTATTTACTTGGTAGAATATCGTTGAAGAAATGAAAATTAATGAATTCGTAAAAAGAACTTTTTGGGAGCTTTATAATATTTTAATACGTACTCAGAGCAAGAGATGCAGGGGCCACCATTTTTGATTTCGTTTCCGCGGGTCACTTCGCGTCAGAATTCCACGACTAGCTAGCTCTAGCGCTTCGATGTCGCTTCTTTTATACGTTTTATGGAAACAATGCTCGATCACTCGAGCACTACATCTTTGATAAGGGATATGACTGATGAACGTTTCTTCAAGGCGAAGAATAAATATTCGAACGTTTTCCTTCCTTCTTTTTTTTTTTTTTTTTTTTTTTTAAATTCATGATCGAACCTTGAGAAATTCCGTACTCTCTACCGGATTAAAAAATAAGCTGGAGATTAGGTAGATATTAGTTCTCGATCGATCAGATTGAGAAACTGTTACGAAATTTGAACTTAACGGTGATGATATCTCGCGTATTCCGATCGAAGATTTTTTACTTGATTCGAATATTTATTTATATTTACACTATTAAAAATGGCAGGAAGTTTAAATTTTGTAGAATTGTAATGGAAATCATGATGAGAGATCTTTTCCATTGTTATTTATTATTAAAAGCCTTAAAATTAGATATTTAATATTTTTGTAACGTGTTAAATTCTTTGCCGATCCACGCTTTCGTTGAATATAGTACAAATTAAACATCACTCAACGTCACCCAAGCATTAATCAAGTAACGATCGCACGTGCTTGCGTAATTCAGAAAATATCCCAAAAATCATGAGGAACGTCGACCATTGTCAGATTACCGTGAAGAATTGCGATTATATTTGACAGTATTTACTTTTCAAATTACAAATGAATAAAATCCTTTTCTGAATCGTTCATTGTATAGTTAGCTGATCTAATAATGTTTTAATCCGATTTACACATACACTTTAAAATACACTTAAAAGAAAGATACACTGTTAAGATATAAGATGAAGTCATTCTCCAATTAATCTTCTCCTCTTTGAAAAAGCATACTCGATGAATAGTAATACATTGCAAAGTTATCTCGAGATGGAGGTATTTTGCAATTATCATTTTTCTTTTTGTATAAAAAAGCATTCTCGAAAAATAATACATTGGTAAGACATCTTAAGATGGAGGTATCTTTCAATTATTTCCTTTTTTGTGTATAAAAAAGCATTGTCGAGGAAAAAGATATTACGTTAAGACAAAGTCTTACAATATCTCGTTCACTATTTCCACTCGGTAATTCCACTTTTTGTTCCAAATGTGAATCACTTTCCGCGTCGCAACTATTATCAACACGGAATTTTATGTGTTGCAACAAATGGCTGGCAATGTCCAATTGCGCAGCATCTGCCACGGATGCGGATTAAAACATCTTTTTCATGCCGCAATCGTTTACAAACAAATCTTGGTGCTATATCGAGTTCAATCGCCTAATCCTTCGATATTTTCCTTTCGTTTTAGATATTTTATTTTTGCAGAAAACCATGGTAGTCGTTATCGCGTTTATCGAGCATAATCGAAACGACCGACAGATTAGTCCTTTTAACATCGAAAAGGTTTAGAAGCACTGGCTTAGAGAATACAAAGTGGTGCAACCATAACTCGTTTATATTTCGGTGGGGTCGCGCTCCCATAATCTTATCATATTTATTTGGAAAATCGTCGGCTTGTCCGCGAAATAACAGACTCCTTGTGGGAGTAGTATTTCTTCGCGGGACGATTACCACTGGGAAACAACGAAATCCACTTTCTGTTGGTGGAAATATAGGTAGAAGGACAAATTACGTCACTTTGTCACGGTTGTCCTACCTGTCCTCGGCTTAGGTGGATTTCGTTTCGGTTACGACTGGGACTTTGCGTTCAATTTTTCTGTATTCAAATGTATTTGGTCAATTTTCAAACATTGGAGGTATATGAATACTTCTTTATTTTAATAACAAATATTCAAATGGTACTATTTTAATAATAAGGTACCTACTATTTTAATAATCGAATTGTGTTAGAATAACGATTACCGAAATTATCAGAATTTATTTGTAGCTTTCTAATGGTTATGAAACGATCAGGTATTCGTTGGAGATTAATTGGAGATTATAAGAAAGATAGTATCGCGCGAGCGATGAGATCTTTTCATGATTTCTCATCGATCCTCGCAAATTTTAATCTATCGCATCTGTGATTCGGTATCTTTAATGTATTTGCAGGTTGATTTTTGCGAACGATTGTAATTAATATGATAACTTAACTTGATAATAGTAATAGAGCAATATGTCAAAGCGATCTAAGTAAAAAAGGTTGAAACACTTAGGTTCTGATGCAATTACTAAATTAAAAAAATTCATAATTATCTTTTAATTTAACCTCAGGGCTTTTCAATTCGGATCAGATAGAGTTTTATCTACGTCAAACAACTTCATCATAGTACAATGCTAAAAGAAACATTCATACGGTTTCGTTGGGGTGCAATCTGTCTATGCTGATTTCTATTCGCAAATAATGATATCAAAACATACAACGGTTTATTTCACCTAAAGGCTACTTAACTTCGAATTTCTATTATTATTTTCAATAAATACATTGCAGTAGCAACTCCCCACCTCTTTTTCATAATTTTTTCAATTTTTCGCAAATATCGATGAGGTCGGAAACTACGTAATTTATTTGTTTCTTTGGTTTAAAAAAAAAAAAAAAAAAAAAAAAAAATGTGACGAAGCTTGTGCTAAAGAACCCTCTCCATAGCAGAAATAGAACTGGTAACGTTCGACTTCCGCGGGGAGCAAAAATTCGCAAGAATCGTTGCAGTAACCCAATATTTGCCCCGCTCGAAGACAATTTCGCGCGAAACTGACTGTCCATAAATCGCACGAAACAAAATGTGGCTCGAGAGGGTTCGCGAGTGAAACCCGATTTCCTGGAACGCGTTCGCACGACGAAACGTCTTTCGCTTCCCTTCGCGGCGGTGTAGTAAAATTCGTTTTCGAATCGTTACAGGGGTGCACCTTTGTCTACGTGGTGCTTCGTTTAATAAAATTTCGTCGAAGAACGCGAACGAACGGAGAAGTTTCATTTCGGGGCGAACTGCTACATTGTTCTTTCATTCTGTCCAATTTTTTTTTTTTTTTTTTTTTTTTGTTTCTCAGTATGCCCAAGAAACACAGCACGAGAAGATACTGCGAGGATTAGCCGTAGGCATCGCGTTCACTATGTACGGCCGTCTCGAGGAAGCAGATCCTCTGGTGACTTCCCTCTGCGCCGACAAGGATCCGATTCTTCGCAGGAGCGGCATGTACACGCTGGCGATGGCCTATTGCGGCACCGGAAACAATCAGGCCATCAGAAAGCTGCTCCACGTTGCTGTAAGTTCACTTTTGAAAATATCTGACAACGGATCACTCGAATATTATTATTAAATCGACCAAAAAGTTCGTTTGTGGCGATGGTTGTCTCGCTGCAGTTCGGATGGTTATTAACTTAACGAGGACTTCTTCGAACCTAGTCATGAATTTGCCTAAAACGCCTTTGATTCGCATTGAACGAAACATATTATAAGGACGTCGGTCTCGGCACAGATGCCAGCCTCGAGATGATTTATCATACTTTCTTTTCTTTTACACGTGTACTTACACAGTTTCTTCTCTGACGCATGTTAATTTTCATTCCGCTCCCAAAAAGCCATCTATTCAGTATTTACTTCTAACCGCGGTGACAAACTCGTTGGTTCACGTTTCGTTAACGCCGATAAAAATATGTCAAGTTTGATAAATATTTGTTATTGCCCAATGTCGTTATCCAATGTGTACCTACGATCAAATTTATCGCTCTAAAATACGTGTATACAAATACACTCGGAAAGTGTATACAGGAGTCTGTTATATTTGAAGGACGACGAATATCCTTTTGTACGTTTGTTAAGGAACTTTTATTAATGCAAAATAACGTGTTGCCAGGTCTCTGACGTGAACGACGACGTTAGGCGGGCTGCGGTCACCGGGTTGGGATTCCTCTTGTTCAGGTGAGTGCTTTTAAAGAATATTCAAACATGACCCGCAGGAATGCGAATTTTTCTACATCTGGGTCGTATCTGTGCTTTAAAAATTCCACGGTAAGATGACCTGGACCCGCTCGGTCCACTGTCATCTTAATTTTTCTTTTCTACCGTCACTATGGAATCCGAATCTTTTTTGCAAAAATGTTATACGGATACCTGAACGTTACTTCCAACAAAAGACATAAGAGTCCTGAATATAAGAAGAAATTTGCATAAATATTTATACGAATCAATCACGGAAAGTAGCAAACTACTTTATAATGCCACAAAATTATCTCTATTTCCCTTGTAGATACCTTATCATAGAAGATCACGGTATCGAGTCTTGACCTTAACGTCTGCTTCTGGCTCTATCTAGTCACGTTTCGTGTTTCGTAATTCGTTGTGCTAGTCGCACCGCCACTTTGATCTGTGATCAAGATCTTTACAGGTGACTCGTTATTTAAAAGCAGGAAATTTGATTACATCCATGTACAACTCGTAAAGAATATTATCTACGATAAAAATTTGTCGTATTGTTAATCGTTTCTCAAATTTACAGAGCTTTTTCTGTTAAAAATTCAACGATTATTAATCTCTGTTCGCTTCAAACGACTCCAGGATTTAGGACTCCGTAAAAGTCGTTTTCAGATTGAATGTCTCCTTATCGTATGCTAAACGCATTAATACGTTAACGCGACAAGCAATCCGCTGAGAATGCTCCGTTATCAACGATGCAACACGTGAACCCGAGATACAATGCGAGTGCCTCTGTACCGGTTGATACTATTCAGCCAATCGTCGAAACGAGCCTGGCAGCGCGTCAAAATTACGATAATCGTGTAGGTGATCAACCGACAACGGCATCAAGTCCGGGTTTAATGGATTGTAGGTGCGCATCTAATTAATCGTGTCGTTCGGTGACGCGACACGCACTGGTAAGCCTCTTGCTCGCGTGCACTCTCTTTGTTTCCCGATCTTCGACTGCAACGTACAAGAGATTCGCGATGGTTGCTTCGACGGCACTGTTGGTTCATCGCGGATGCACAGGATTTACATGGGAATTGCGGAATTGAAAACAGGAATGTGCACAGTCAGGAATCCGCATCGTTTCGTTTAATGGAATGACGATGGAATGTTCGTATACAAAAGGCTCTACTGTGTAACGTAAAAATAAACAATTCATATAAATTTAGAAAGAACAATAGGCAATTAACCAGATATAGGAGTTGAAGATATTGGCAGTTGATAATAAACCAATAAAGATTAGTTGAAGATATTGATCGAGTAAAAATGTCAGATTTTAAAAAACATTAGTCCAGTCGCGTCGTGGTTAACGATGATAAACACTGCGCAGAGAAAAAGCCATTATCATTAATTGAACCGTTTCAATGCGCGAGTGAAAACATTTTACTTTTGTATTTTAATTTTCTTTCGATGCAGCCAGTGTGCATTCCAATTTATACATTTGAACATGTTTTGTCTTAAAGAAGACTCGGAGGGTGTCGTTACGTTTACGAGGTGTAATTCTTCATGAAGGCGCGAGAACAAACTACATCTTCTTATTGGAAACAAAGCGCAACGAACGAGGCTCGGGCGCAATAATCGAGGTATCCTCCCCGCTTATCAGGCTCTCGCGAAACTTCGTTAATACGCCGACCAATCGCGAATTCGATCGATCAAAGGCACGGACTCCAACCTCCCAGCCGATCGATAGTTTTCATCTCTCAGAATTTTTGACGGATTGAAAGTTCCTTTCGTTTAGCCGTTAGTCCATCCGATATTTTCCTCTCTGACCGCCATCGTTCGTGGCCGTTCTCGCTCCACGATTTTACGGTGCAGTTTTTCGCGGTCGAGAGCCCCGCTGTTAATTCGCTGCGACGTTTTTCTATCAAATCGAGGGACGCTGGGGGATCAATCCTATCCGTCGGAAGTCTCTTTCAGTCGCCAGTTCCTCGCACGGTGCGACGGGATCCTGTGATAATTCGCGAGAGATCTACGTCCAAGTTTGAACTCGATTGCCGGGAGAAACAAGTACTATGGAGCGATGCGTTTGAGAATTTTATGGAAACTAGAATTCGAATTTTAGGGTGAAACGATATAGGGGAAAGATATACAACTGATTTTATGTACCTTGATCTGCGACCTCGTCTGATCGTAATTACAATTAATTACAGATCTAAATAATTTTGGAAAAAGATATATAATTGTGTTTGCATTATCTACGATCTTAACCGACTTTGCCTGATCTTGGCTGATCTTGAATAATTACGTCAATTAAATTCTTCGGGATGTGCTGTCCATACAGGAAGTATGAAGCTTTACATTCCTCGCGCTGTACGTTCTAACGACATCTCGACCAACACCTATGAGCCTCTTTCAGGGTACTATATCTACCTATATCCAAATCGAGATAACAATACCTTACGGAGTCCCAGACCGCGTCGATTAGTTTTCTAGCTCAATGGAAAGTCATTAGCCCTCGACAGTTCCAAGCGTTCCGTGAATAAGTGAAGGACCTCCACGAGAAAGTGACTTTCCCTCGATGTAGGCGCGAATTAATGCTCCCCGGGGTACACGCGCGTTCCACGAGCATTGAGTGTCGACGTGATCGTCACCTGAACTCGTCCCTCGAGCGCTGACGGGTATCAGCCATTATTTATGTCGACGTTTCCCAGGGATCGAAGCTCTTTCCCTCTTACCACCTTCCAATTCCGATCGATCAGCCTTCAAGACGCTCGTTTTCATATCCAATCCTTCGCAGAGCATTCGCAGGTACGATAAGGTCAATCGTTGACCCACGTTCAACATCGTTGCTCCTATCGGCGATGCCACGGACCGACAACGAATCGCTTCGTGAGCGTTGGCCGTTGTTTACCTGCTGGTTGAAGAATTAGAGAGCTGTGGTATAGGATACTCTACCGGTCCTTAAGGAGGGGAGGGGGTGAAGCATCAGAATGTTTTCTAAGACGTTTAAATGTTTTCTTAGAAAATCTAAATTGGAATTTTTTAATTTCCAACTTAATCAGTGCTCGACAAGGAATTATATTGTGTTATTATGATTACGTGGGAAATGTAAATGGAAATTTCTAAATTTCCTACGTAAGTAATGTTTGACTTGCATAGAAAATCTCGACTGAAATTTTTAAATTTCTAACTTAACCAATGCTCGACAAGGGAATATATTATTATCGGTCCATCGAAGATCTCGACTGAAATTTCTGAATTTCCAACTTAACAATTGAGAAAGAAATTTCTTTTTCAAAAGTGTCACATCGGAGCGTGAGTTTCATGGAAATTTGGTAGAAGTTGAAGGTGGGCAGGGACGTTGTCATCAGTGCGTGAACGGATGTCGGTGTGATTGAGTACGATTTGGCTAACGCGTCTGGCCATTACTCGCTATCTCTACTTGCCGTGGTGGTTGGGAACATTGATGGCACGGTGTTATCTGTTTCCTGTCGATCTTACTATCTTCTAGTTAGTTGGGACCAGTTAAAATAGATAATACCGCGCCATCGTTGTTTATAAACACCAACGCAAGTGGAAATAACGAGTAATGGTCAGACAAGTTAACCGAGGACTCAACTATCTGTTAACGCTCTCTATTTTAAAATGACATATACAGTTTATACAATCGTATTTTATTTATTTAATGGATATTCAGACCTTTAATTTACGTCCTCTTTAAGTTAACTGGACCTAATCTATAGGGTGCACAAAAAATCGGAAGTACCATTCATCGCGTTGGTAAAACCACGGATCGCATCGTACAATTCTTGGTTCGTAATCAAGCTATCGGATCCATGAAGGAAAAATCTTCTTTCAAGATCGACGTTGCGTACGAGGGAACTCGGATTGTTCCTTTCGGCGAGGTTAACGAATCTCGATTCGTCGTGGATAATCGATCCGAGGCCCGTGTCTCGAGACTCCTGATTGAAAATGCTCGATCGATCGCGTGATTTCTCGAAATTGACTGTCGGCGAGGATAAATAGTCGAGAGTCTGATGAAGGAAGGGGTGGGGGGCGATTAAGGAGTCTAACTACCCTGTTCTAAATAGAATAGATAATTTTTGGGAACGTTTCACGTGAAAATTATATGATGTAAAACGTTTAAATTTAAATAGATAAATTAATGTAGCGTGATATTTTTATATTATTAGGCGAATCCTGTGCAGAGAGCACATCCTAAAGAATTTCATTGCTATAGCTGTTGCATAGCTATTCAAGGTCAAGCAGGGTCAGTTAAAGTCACAAATAAAGCAAAATGGATTCTATATTTTTTCCGATATCATTTCGTTCTACGATTCATTTGTAAATTGGCTTAGTCATCAATTAAAAAATTACTTGAATCCCACAGAAAAGCCTTAAAATCTCTACTTTCTTTTGTTACGTAAGCCCTAATCGCCCTGACAGCGAATTCTGCCGGCCATAGTCGTGGAAGGACTGCTCGAGACAGTGGAAGAGTTCAGGAATTCGTTATTTTACGCCTCCGGCGACGGTTTCTCGTCTCGAGAAGTTCTGCTATCGCGAGTAATCGAATATTTACTATGTCTTCGGGGCCGAGGGTACGAAGGGCGAGCTAAACTCGAAACAGGTCGAGCTTCTCGTTTGAGGGACACGTTGTCGCGCCGGTGGTCACGGTTTCCGAAACTTGGGCGAGAAGTTATCGCGCAGGTCGCGTATGAAAATTTGATGCTGGAGGATTACCGCCCTTGGTCCTCCACGCTCCTGGACCGAGGGGGTCCTTCACACCAGGGGCACCAGGTAAGGTTCGTTCGCGAGTCTTGACGGGAATTAAATTTTTCACGGAAAAGTTAAGCAAATTTCGTCCGCATCTCCGTCTTCTTCAATAAAATATTAATTGGAACCGTAATTTCCTCATCTGCATTTATTCTGTGCTCTTCCGACAAACCCTTTCTCTCGTTGTTTCGTTTTTTAACAGGGCACTCTTTTTGGAGGAGTCTGAAAATATATTTTTTCGTTGT